GCCCTTGATCAGCGCAGGGACAGGGCAATTGCCCCCTGCCTTCCCAAGCTGGAAGGCACAGCTTGTAGCAGAGAAGCCTCCCGTTCATCAACCCGGGGCAGCTGCAATATCCATGCAGGCTCCTAGAGGGCTGGGGCAGCAAAAACCCTCGGGTGGGGGGTGGCAGTTACAATACCTGCACTGGACACCAGGGGGCAGAGGCAGCTAAAAAACCCAGGGTGGCAGGGTGGGGGCAGGTACAAATACCCATTCTGGCCACCAGGGGGGCATGGGCAGGTCATCTAAAACCCCTAGAGGGGGGCAGTTGCAATATGCACGCTGACCACTAGGGAGCAGGAGTTCAACCCCCCTGGAGGGTCATTTGCAATACACATTCTGGCCACCAGGGGGCAGGGGCAGATAAAACACCCAGGGATTGGGGGGGGCAATTGCAATACCCCCACTGGCCACCAGGGGGCAAGGGCAGCTAAAAACCCCTGTGGGGCAGTTGCAATACAAATTCTGGCCACCGGGGGGCAGGGGTAATTAAACCCCAGGGAGGGGGGCAGCTGCAATACCCACGCTGGCTCCGGACAACCCCCAGCCCCAGGGGACCCAGTGGGGTCCAGGGAGGAGATATCAAGGCAGGGGTGCGGGGGGGTGCCCGGCCCAGCCCCATACCCAGCATGCGGAGGCGCCCGATCTTGTCCATGAGCAGGGCAGAAACGATGTTGCCGGGCAGCACGGCCAGGGTGCCCAGGAAGCTGACAAAGTAGATCATGTAGGCGCTGTTGTCGTCGCTGAAGTCCAGCTGGCAGCCCTCCTTGTTGTGCAGGAAGGTGCTGTTCGGCAGCCTGCTGTTGATGAGCTTGTACTTGAACAGGTCTGGGGGGCACAGGGAGGTGCTGCCAGGCTGGGAGCGGCTGCCCCTGCCCCCTCCCAGCCCCTGAGATACAGCCTAGGGACTGTCCCCCACTGCCCATCCCACTGCTGAAATGCAGCCAGCTCTGGGGTGGGACGCATTTGCTGTGTAACAGGGATGGTGTGTAACATCAGGGATGATACCCACCTGCTGTTGAAATGCAGCCAGCTCTGGGGTGAATCTTACAGCAGCGGAGCTGACAGGGACCTCCAGAAGAGTGCAACCCCTTGCCTGAGGCAGGGGCAGCCCTGGCCAAACCAGTCTGCACAAATCCATCATCTAAACTCTTTGTAAAACTACCGTCAACCCTGACAACAGATATCACACCTGAACCTGCCCTGGAGAAAGCAGGGGGACTACAGCTGCTGGCATCCTGCTTCTATTAAAGGTTGTTAATGCACACTCACACGTGCCTCCGCTAGAGGAAGGCAAAGCCTCCCCCCCTCCCCCACGTCTATACCAATACAATTCCTTCCTGGCCCCAAATGTGTCAGTCTGACCCTGAGCAGGGGGGCACGACCCTCTGGCCAGGACCCTGTGGGGTTGGTGCCACCAGATGCATTGGCACAGCCCAGTCCCTATCCCCAGCCTGGGCTGCAGCAACACCCAGCACCTCTGGGGGAGGCTTAAAACCCCCTGACACATGGAGCAGAAAGCTGGGAACAACAAGCAAAGCCCAGAAGCCTGGGACATCCCCATAGCAGAGCGCAGGCACCTCTCCGCCTAGATCATCCGTGACTGGTGCCTGCCCACCCTCTCCTTGCACCCCTCCAGTGACAGAGTCTGCAGCTTCCCCCGGTCTTTCCCATTCCCTCCCTGCTCCAACAGGGATGTTTTCCCCCCAAGATGCAACAGGAACCTGCTTCACTGCCACCTCCAGCCACTGCTCTGCATCCTCCTCCCTGCAGCCAGAGACACAAGGTGCTTTCCTTCTCCTTTATAGCAGCCCTGCGGGGATTTGCAGACTGCTCTCTTGTCCCCTCTTCCGCACCTTTTCCACAAGCTGAACATGCCCATGTCCAGCCCCTCTTATCGTGTATAGCAATAGGGATTCCCTGCCTACCCTGCCGCTGAAATGCAGCCAGCTCTGGTGTGGAACACAGATGCTGTGTAACAGGGCATGGAAGCCGAGCACCTGCAGCCTGGCTGTGGCGGGGTGGGGGAACCGACTCCAGGTGAAGTCGGCATTGGGGTGGGCGTCATCCCTGTTGTTACCACTCAGCAGCCAGGGGTGGGGGTGAGCTGGGACAGCTGCCAGTGTGGGGGGCGCTCAGTGCCCAGCTCCTCCCAGCAGCCCATCAGGGTTTACTCAGTGCAACTGAGTCACCACTCGATGGCTGATGAGTTCCTCCCCACCCAGGATATGGGGGGAGTGGGAGGGAAAGCCCCGAGCTCCCGGTCCCGCGGAGGCCTTGGAGGGATGGGTCTGCTGTGCTAGGGGCCCCCTGGCCTCTGCCCATTGTGAGAAGCTCCCCGCTTCCCATTAGATGCACAGGGAATTGCCCAAGGCCACGGAGAGAATCAGTGGCGGAGCAGAGAATAGCACCCAGGGGGCTCAAAGGTTTGCCCACCCCACACACTCACTCAGACTGCACTGGCCCCCGCCTGCCTGCCTTTGGCTGCCCATAATCCTCTCTGTGCTCCGAGGCACAATCCCCAGCAGAGGCAAATCAAGCTGGAGGAGAAGCCCGAGCAGCCAGGAGCAACAGAGGGGCACAGAGGGCAGCAGCGTGGACTGAGGCGGCTGTGCACAGCTCTCCAGGCCAGGTGAGGGGGATTCATCCACACGCTCCAGGGTCTGAGCCAGGGGGTCAGGAAGAAACGTCTCCCAGGGAGGGATTTAACTCAAAGCCAGAGAAGGATCTGATCTCCCAGTGAGTTGCTTCCCTTGCCCGTGCCTCAGTTTCCCCCTCCTGTTCCCATCTCCAGAACCGGGCTCATCTCGCTCTAGTTATGTCCAGCACCTGGTGCAGCCAGGATCTGCCATCATACGATGACTAACAGCCTCCCTAATGGCTGTCCCTGGCACAGACAAGGCACCAGATGGGGCACGGCCGGGCGGGCAGGCAGTACCTGTGTTGTAGAAGATGGTGGAGATGATGGTGCAGTTCTTGAAGAAGGTGTTGCTGAAGGTGACGTCCTCAAAGTAGCACTCCTCAAAGAGAGTGTCCTCAAAGATCACCGACTTCATCTTGAGGCCGATGAACCTGTCGGGGGTGGGAGATGGAGGTGGAGACTGTGCGGGGGGGGGACCCCCGTGCTAGGGTAAGGACATAAGAGCATATTCCCCCCCGCCCATACCTCTCCCCCTTGCAGCCTCCAGCACCGAAGGTCTAACAAGCCCTGATTCAGAGGCTGCACCCCTTACTCCCATGCTCAATAGCTCCTAATGCCCCTTTCCTCCAAGCATGGGTCCAGTCCTGTTGTGAATCTGGCTATGCTCTCAGCTGCCACCGCATCTAGTGACAATAAGTCCCACGCTTGAAATCCACATCCCTATTAGCCAGATTGCAGCATAATGATATGGGGAGATCAATAACCCCCCCGAACATGTCCACATTGGTGGTTGCCACAGACCATGGGGGAGCTGTGCCCACAATGGGCACCTCTAAGGTGGGACATGAGGATCTTCTATTAACTGGGGGCCCTAAATCTCCAAAAAAACTCCTCCCTGGCTCCTCACTCACCCACAGCACCCTGCCCCTGTATCCCCCTGGCCCCCTCCCCGCAGGGATTGCGGAGGGGTGCGAATCTCACTTGTCATTGAAGTATTTGCCATTCCGGTGGATCTGGTTCTCTAAAGTGAAGTTGAAGGTGACATGCGCCACCCTCTCGTCCACAAAGACCTTGGTGCGCGAGGCGTAGTCGATGCTCTGCAGGTGCTTGATCATGTCCGGAAACCACACGGTTAAGCCGTAGTAGCTGCAATGGGCACAGGGGATTCAGTGAGGGGTGCTCGGAGCTGTACAAACTCACTGCTGGCCTACACCAGGCCTGGAAGGTGGGTGGTGGGGGCAGGCTGGGCAGGAAAATGAGTGCAAAACTGGGGCATTCAGGTGCCCTGGAAAGAGCCTGGAGCAGGCCATTTGGGGGATTCCTAAGTTATAGGGATGCTGTTGCCATGGCTGTGCTGCGCTGCCCCTGAATGAAGACTTTCAGCCTGGTTCCCTCCATCCACTCAGTCTGTTCATAAGGGGAAACTGAGACATGAGAAAGGGACCAGACTTGTCCCCACAGCTGTCACTGGATTGGGTCCTTCCAGCCCAGCTGGGGGCAGGGAAACCTGGCATCCTGCCCTGGGTCCATCACCCATGGGCAGCCGGACTGTGGATCCCCATCACAGGCCCTGTCTCCAGAGCCCCCGTAAGGAGCCGTCTGGGGGGTTAGGAACCCAGGTGTCCTGGCCCTGCCACCTCAGCTCCAAGGACAAGCTCCAGGGGGACACGGCAGCCCGGCCCCCACCCCAGCCAGGAGGGCTGTGCAAAACAGCACTGGTCCGTTTCGACCAGCGTTTCAGCGTTTTGACAGAACAGTGTTTCGTTTCGAATTTTGTTTCGATTCGAAACTGCTCTTCTGTTTCGTCGAAACAGTTTCTCTGTTTTGATGCTGTTTCGACGTTTTTCCTATAGGCTTTATAATGGGGAAGCTCGAAACAGCCTATAACTTTGTCATTTCTGGCCTGATGTGGCTGAAACTTGCAGGGATGGTAGCCCCTTCTGAGGCATGACGCCTGCCAAGTTTCAAGGAGATTGGTGCAGGGGGAGTCTGGGTTCTGGGGCCCTGCACCTCTAGCTGCTGACAGGCAAAACTCATGTCATGGGTGGGTGACACTGTGTGTGTTAAGGTGCGCCCTCACTCAGCTGACACCGAGGCAGAGAGCAGGGCAGTTCAAACAGTGCTGCCTTTTATGCAGTTTTTCCATCCCTCCCCCAGAGCACTGGGATTGAAAGGGACCTCAGGGAAGGGTGACAGTCACTGGC